CACCCCCACCCCTGCTGCAGGTGCCAGGGCACCCTGGGGCCTCAGCGGCTAACGCCCTCTCTGGTGAGTTTGGGGTCCTGGCCGGGGGGTGGGGGGTCATGGCCCTGGGCTTGGGCCCAATTGGCTTTGGGGCAGCTGGACCTTAGCAGATAGCAGGGTTTGAGGAGGGAATGGCACAAGGCCAGCAGGGAAGGCCAGTCACCTGGGCCCAAAGAGGCTGACATGACGGTGACAGACATTAAAGCCTTCTCCCCCTCCCCTCCCACAGAGCAGGACCTGATCGGCCAGGACCTGAACTCTCGCTACCTGAATGCCCAGGGTGGCCCCGAGGTGGTGGGGGCAGGGGGCTCAACTCGGCCCCTGGCCTTCCAGTTCCACCAGCACAACCACCAGCACCAGCACACCCACCAGCACACCCACCAGCACTTCACCCCTTACCCCCCGGGCCTGCTGCCACCCCACGGCCCCCACATGGTGAGCTCCTCATTGGGCTGGTGATGCGGCTCAGAGGCCTGGGAGGAGGGTACAGCTTCCAAGGGGAATGCCCTGAACTCCTTGGCTGGCAGCTTACTCTTCCCTTCTTTTCCATAGTTTGAGAAATATCCAGGAAAGATGGAAGGCCTTTTCCGGCATAATGTGAGTGCGTGTGCGCATGTGTGGTGCGTGGGCATGAGTGCGTGAGCGCGTGTGGCCCTGACTGTCGGGGTCCAGACTTCAGTTCCAAAGCAAGAGCCTTGAGCCTGGGAGAGCTCCCCAGGGGGCTTTAGGGTGGAGGCCAGAGGACTGATGGGCAGACTGATGGGCTGCACCTCCACCCCCAGCTTGGACTAGTCCCCTTCTCTCCACAGCCGTACACGGCCTTCCCTCCCGCAGTGCCCGGCCTACCTCCGGGCCTCCCGCCGGCTGTCTCCTTTGGCTCCCTGCAGGGGGCCTTCCAGCCCAAGGTGAGATCCCAATCCAGATACCACCACCACCACCACCTCCCACCCCCTGCAAACCCAGATACCTTCTAGGCCCACATCCTTCTTCCCATTCCCAAAAATCATATCCATCCTTCCTGCCCCTCTCCCACCACCCAACCCAGGTTTCTCCAAAGTTGTGCTCCCTCCCCTACCCCATCCTCCAGCTTAGTCCGAGACCCCTTTTATGCCTGGAGTCAGCTTTCCTGATGGTCCTTCCACTCCCCTTTCCCAGAACACGAACCCTGAGCTGCCACCAAGACTGGGGCCAGTGCCGAGCGGGCTCCCTCAGAAGGGGACACAGGTGAGGGGGAGCAGGGTTGACTGGAGGAGAGTGAGCTCCTGATCTCACCCTTTAATATGTGATTGGGGGTGTCCCTGGGTGTGTAATGAGAGAGTAAATTGCTGTAAACAACAGGAGTTCCCAGGAATAAGGAGCAGGAATTTCAGCAGGTGGTCCCAGAAACAGGACAGTGGTTCTTCTGGGATTTTTTAATTTTTGAAGTCACAGAACACTGTTTTCAAATGACATCACACAGAAAGCTCTGTGCACAAAACAGAAGCAGTGGCATAGGGAGCCAGAGCAGCACAGAGGTTTCCTAAAGGGTAGGCTAGACCAGAAATTTTTCAATCTCCTTTGGCAGTAGGAAGGAGCTCTGGTGGCACAGTGCCTGAGGCATTTGACTGCTTACCAGAAGGCTGGCGGTTCAAACCCACCAGCCACTCCTTGGAAGGAAGATGGGACAATCTACTTCCGTAGAGATAACCACCTCAGAAACTCAAGGAGGGGTTGCTATGAGTCGGAATCGACTCGATGGCAGTGAGTTTGGTTTTTAAATTTAATTTTATTTTTTAGTTCATTTTTTTTTAAGCAGTAGTAAAAGGCTTTTTTTCTGAAGAAATTTAAAAATGGGCCACCATCGCATCCATCTGTTAATAGGATAGTTTTTCTGGTTGAGAAACCTGCTGCCCTGCCTGCCCACTAAGCCTCATGCCTCCCCCAGCTGTCCCATCAGGGCATCTCTGGAGCGCAGTTCAGAATCCTGAACTCTAGAGCCTGGTGTTGGAGGGAAGGCACCCAGACTGGGAGAAGTGCAGAAGGGAGTTGTGACTATATCAGGGAAGGTTTCGGGGAGCCACACAGGGTCTTCATAGGGCATGAGTACATGAGTTTGGGGGGTTTGGGTGCTGTAGAGATGAGGTGCCCGGTTTAGTAGACAGGGCTGAATTCCTCCAATATTTCCTTTACCATCCCTAGATCCCTGACCATTTCCGGCCACCTTTGAGGGTGAGTTTGGCAAGGACCACAGGCTGCATGAGGCTGGGGGCTGGTGTCAGGGTGTTTGGCTAAAGGGGGAGAGTCTTGTTTGGGAAAAAGAGAAGCCCAAGATGTGGAGGTGGCCTAATGCGGAACAGCAGAGAGTGAAAGGCTTTGCATTCACAGACCGGGGTTCGGATGTAACTGGCCACAGGACCATGGGCAAGACAGCTTCTCTCTCTGAGCCTCAGTTTCCTAGGCTGTAAAATGGATTTAGTCATCCCTTGATTGTAGGGATAATGAGTGGGGATGGTGTGGCAAGGCTGAGCCCAGGGCCCAGCTTGGAGTGGGTGACAAGTGAACATTCTTTCCTTCCCTTTCCCTTTGGTCATCCTTTTGGGGCGGCAGAAACCGGGGAAGTGGTGCGCCATGCACGTTCGCGTGGCTTACATGATCCTGAGACACCAGGAAAAGATGAAGGTACTGGGACCAGAGGGCTGGGGAGAGTGGGCCTGAGAGTCAGGGGAGGCCTGCCTGAGCTCTGAGCAACTACCTTCAGCAGTGCCGGGCAGAACCTTGGCCAGAAACATTCCATCTTGTCCCCTTCACTACATGGACAATTACAGAATCAGTGCCTCATTGCTCTGGCTAATTAGAGGGATGGTCAAAGAAAGCTCTGAGAGAGGCAGAAGCTAGGCCCTCTGGTCCCATCTTGGTATCAGCCAGTTAGGCCTTGGGAGGGGCACTAGGGATAGGGGAGCAAGAGCTAGTCCACATCTGGCTCCTCGTTCATTGCCCCCCGTGTCTCCATGCAGGGCGACTCCCACAAGCTTGACTTTCGGAACGACCTCCTGCCCTGCCTTCCGGGGCCCTATGGGGCCCTGCCCCCTGGGCAGGAGCTGTCCCACCCGGCCTCCCTCTTCACTGCGACTGGTGAGTCTGGCCAGCCCCCTTGGGTCCTGAGGTTCCCCACCTATAGCCCAAGGCCTGCCTTGTGCCCCCCCAGCCTCATCAGAATCTCCCACCTCTCTGCCCCAGGTGCCGTCCATGCTGCAGCCAACCCTTTCACAGCAGCTCCCGGGGCCCATGGACCCTTCCTGAGCCCCAGCACCCATATTGGTAAGAGCCAACGGCATATTGGGCAACCCAGGCCTTGTCCCTGCCTTCTGTGAGTTGTCAACTTGTAGATGGAAATCAGACCTGATAGGTAGCTGGAATGAGGGTAGACCTGGTTCACTTGGCTTGGTGACCTTGGGCAAGTTTCTCTGCACCCCACCGCCCTAGCCTTGATTTCCTCCTCATCTCTAAAATGGGGTAGGGAAGACCAGGGTGATTTCCAGTTACTGTCAACTCAGGTATTTTATCTGAAATAGCAAGTCATAGGGGATAGTTGCCACGTGCCAGAGCAGGGTGGAGGGAGGCCGTGCAGGCCCGGGGATCTCAGCAGGCCTCTTGGCAAGATTTAACCTGGTCTTTACTGGTTTCCGTGAACAAGGAGGATTTGAACCTGAGGGCAGAAGGGAAGGTTTTCTTGGCAGAGGAAATTGGGAGTTTCCCATAGCAGGGTTAGGTTAGGTTCTGAGTGGCTATGTGATGACGGGTAGATGAAAGTTAGGGTCAAGCTGGGAGGGGCCCAGCATGTCAGCTGGAGGAAAGCCAGCAGAGGTCTTCAGGTGAGTGGCTTGCTGTAGAGCTGGGATCTGCTAAGAGGGGTCTGGGTGGGTGTATGAGGTAAGAACTTGACCTCTGGAGTCAGAGAGCCGTGGGTTGGGATCCTGGTGGTACTGGCTAGATGACCATTGGCAAGTCACTTCACCTCTCTGAGCCTTTTCCTCATCTTTAAATGGGTGTGATCCTGTCTGCCTCGTGGGGCTTATTGTGAGGCTAAATGGCACGATGCACGTCCACGTTGAACCCTTGCCTGTCCTGAGGGGGTGTTCAGCACACGGTTGTTAAAGCCGAGCCACCATGGGCTCCCGAACCAGCGCTCTGACCTGCCAGCTCCTGGGGTCCGCTCTTGGTGAGTTAGCTGCCTGTGTTCTGACCGTCTCTTTCTCTCCCACAGATCCTTTTGGGCGTCCCACAAGCTTCGCCTCCTTGGCTGCTCTCTCCAACGGGGCCTTTGGAGGCCTGGGCAGCCCCACATTCAGTGAGTGCTGGATGGGTTAGGAAGTGTGGGGGGGTTAAGGGACAGGGGTCATGTGCTAAGACGGGGCTGCCTGAGGAACACCTCCCATTCCTGGTCCCCGTCACTTTCTCCTTTGCCTTCTGCCCAGACTCCGGCGCCGTTTTTGCCCAGAAAGAAAGCCCAGGGGCCCCACCAGCCTTCGCCTCCCCGCCAGACCCATGGGGCCGCCTGCACCGCAGTCCTCTGGCCTTTCCTGCCTGGGTCCGGCCCCCTGAGGCTGCCCGGACGCCAGGCTCAGACAAGGAGCGGCCTGTGGAGCGGAGGGAGCCCTCAATCACCAAGGAAGAGAAAGACAGGTAAGCTTTTGTCCACCCTGATTTCTCTAGCCAGCACCCAAGCCCCTATCTGACCTCTGGCATACCTCATTTTCTCCCCCCTCCCACACTTGCTCCTCAGGGACCTCCCCTTCTCAAGGCCACAGCTCCGAGTTTCTCCTGCTACTCCCAAGGCCCGGGCTGGTGAAGAAGGGGCCAGGCCGGCCAAAGAGTCAGTGCGGGTCAAGGAAGAGCGAAAAGAGGAGGCTGCTACTGCAGCCGCTGCCGCCGCCGCCGCTGCTGCCGCTGCCGCTGCAGCCGCTGCCGCCACCACCGGGCCCCAAGGCCTTCACCTGCTGTTTGAGAGGCCCCGGCCACCTCCCTTTCTGGGCCCTAGTCCACCAGAGCGCTGTGCTGGCTTCCTGGAGCCAACCTGGTTGGCAGGGCCCCCACGCCTTGCTAGGCCACCCCGCTTCTATGAGGCAGGTGAGGAGTTGACCGGACCAGGGGCTGTGGCTGCCGCCCGCCTCTATGGTCTAGAGCCTGCCCACCCCCTGCTATACAGCCGCTTGGCTCCTCCACCACCACCTGCTGCGGCCCCGGGAACCCCTCATCTTCTCAGCAAGACCCCACCAGGAGCCCTGTTGGGGGCACCACCTCCGCTTGTGCCCGCCCCCCGACCTAGCTCCCCACCTCGGGCCCCTGGCCCTGCCCGAGCTGACAGGTGAGGGAAGGGGTGGGGCGGGGGACAAAGCTCCATCACCCCTTTCCTTCTGACAAGATCCTAAGGCTGAGGTTTCAACCCAGGGCTGGAAGGCAAAGGTCATGACCTCATCAGCCATCTCTGAGGTCATGGGTCCTGGGAGCAGAAGCCCCAACCACCATAATATCAAACATCAGATGGACCGTGGGGTCACTGGGAGGGCAGAGGTCACAAACCTCTAGAGAGCGAGAATGTGTGTGTGTGTGTGTGTGTGTGTGTGTGTGTGTGTCTGTGTCCATGTACAGAAAGAGTGGGGTCATTTCAGAGGTCATAGCTTATGATCTCCTGAGGTGCATCATCACCCCCTCTGAGGGCCCCTAGGCCCTTGGCCTGCCTCCCCAAGGGCTCACTAAGCCAGAGGCCAAAGTGCCCCCCTTCTTTTCACCTACCACCCAAGTCTTCATGCCCTCTCAGGGCTGAGGGAAGAGGGGCTAAAGGAAGGGGGGTTCCATGTACATATTTATCTCCCCTTCCATATAGCCCCCCAGACCTTTTGTACATTTTTACAGGGGTGCCCCTCCCAGTAACCCCACTTCCTGGTTAATTAAATCCTCAGACTGGTGCTGTGTTCCTAGCCTCTGGCCTCTCTGTGGGGGGAGGGGAACTACAGGGCAAAGAGCTGAAAGGGGACAGGCAGGAACCCAGGGCTTCTCCCTGGGAATGTGGGGTCTAGCAGGAGGTGGACCAACAGGGGAAGGGTCCTGGGCTGGAGAGAAGGGCAAGTAATGCCTGCCTTGCTGACAGCCCAGACCTTCCTGTTTGCTCCTGTTAACTCTGTGTGTCCCTACCCTCGAAGCTCAACCTTTAAGCCTCAGACTCCACCTCTTAATGCCTCAGTCCCACCCCTACTCCATCTCCAAGTGCCCCCAGGACTCCTGGGCCCTGCACCCCAAAATCCTGTTTCTCAGAACCCTGCCCCAGGCTAAGGGGGACCAGAGAAGGTCACCATGTACCACACACCAAAGAAGGGGGTGGGCCCCAGGGGTGGGCAGCACAGGCAGCTTTATTTAGCAGCCTCATGGCAGCAGCCCGAGCCTTCTCGAAGCAGCAGGCGCTCCTGGGGTGGGGCCCAACCTAAAAGGCAGGGGTCAGTATAACAAAAACCTAACTGTTGACTTTTTTCCTGGTGGGGCTTATTCTGTAACATGACTTGTGGATATTTATATAAAAATGAGTGTTACAATGAGGCCCCCTGGCTCCTCTTTCAGTGTGTGTGGGTCGCCTGGGGTGACTTGGGCTGGGTCCTGGTGGAAGGGAGGCATGAAGACAATACTGCCTGTAGGCTAAAGAGGATTCTCCCCTCCCTCCTATCCAGGAGAGTTTTGCTAGTTCTGGATGGATAGGTTGGAATGTTGAGCACTGGGGGTTTCTACTTTATTTTATTCTACAAACCAGGAAAACATTGTATTAGAGCATATTCAAACAACATAGAAATATGTTGAGAAAAACCTTAAAATTTCTCCCTGCACCTGCCAACCTGCCCATCCCTCACAGCCTTCCCCAGAGGTAGCATTTGGTGTGTGTGCTTCAAGTCCCTGCCTGTGTTTGTTAGAAAAAATCTATAATTTTAAAAAATATGTGAGAGTTACTTTGTTAAGTAATACATGCTCATTAAAGTAATTCAAGCACACAGAAATACTTAGTCAAAAGGGAAAGTGCCCCATAATCCCACCCCTCAGAGATAACCACTGTTAACTGTCAGGTGTATATTCCTCTAGTTATTTTTCTAACTATATGCTTAAAATAATACTGAAATGGAATCTTGTGAAATGTACTCTTGCAAATTAACATTATTCTCTGAGATGTAACCACTAAAAAACAAATGACTACTAAGCTGGGTAGTACTAAGTACTAGTAAGAGGCTCCCCTCCTTTGTGCCCTAGAATTGACGAGGTAGCCTGTTCCACTGTACCCATTGCCTTAGGAAAGTTCCAGCCCACATTCTCTGTTATCACTACACATGACTTAGACTTCTGGGAAAGGCTTAGATTGCTCTGACAGATGTGAGAAACAAGTGACCAGAAGCCAAACTTGGCTTGCAGACAAGATTTTACATGGAAGACCTTGTTTCCAGCTTCTCTTGAAAAATCCTAAAATCCATGGACAGGACCTGCTTTGCCTCAAGCCAGCAGTCAACTGGAGCTGAGTCATGGCCATCCCTTGAGGTAGGCCTGAGATCTCCAAATTGCTGTAGTCCCCTCCTTTCTAATGTCTTGGAGTGGGCCACCTCCTTGGCCCTTGTAAGCATTTGAGTGTGGAACTTTGAAATATTTTCTAAACTTTTATGTCCACCTCTGCTATACCTCCCACAAGCACATCAGATCTCCCAAACTGGGACATCTCCCAGATACATTGCTCCACCCGCCTCTGTTTCCAGCACCAGCAAGCAACCAAGTTGGAAACCTCCCTTGGCTCCTACCTCTCTCCTCACTTGATTCAGTGTCTGCACTGCCTTTTATTTTTTCAGCTGCTGTTGGTCCTGCAGGCCAGGCACTGAACTAGTGGCTGGGGGTACAGAGGTGGTCAAAATCCAATCCTAGCTGTATTGGAGCTTACATGCTGCTATGAAGGATGAGGAAAAAGCAGTGCATGAAGAAAACAAGTCAAGGGAGAAAATCCCAAAGGCTGCCTTCTTGGGACCTGTCCTCTCAACCACTGTCCTCGCTTAGTTTATCTCTCCTCTCTGGGCAACTCCTGAGGCAGAGGTAAAATGATCCAGAAATGATTCTTGACGTTGAGGAAGGGGAAAGGAAACCAACAAAAATCATTCACCATAGTGAGGCTGCTATTGGGGAATACATTGCTTTGCTTTGAGCTCAGCTTAGCTATGTTATCACAAGCAATGTACTTAACCATTTCTATGCCATGACTTATTTGTAAAATGGAAGGTTGAAAAAACAATTTTATTGAGTTGAAATTCACATACAATTCATCCAGTCTTCTGTGATTGGCTTCTTTTACTTGGCATGGTTTCAAGTTGATCCGTGTGTCTTATAGCAGTACTTTATTCTTGTTATTGCTAATTAGGATTTCATTGCGTAGGTGTACCACCTTTTGTTTATCATTTGTGATGCAGTGAACTAATGCCACCTTACTAGCCATCTTGTTTTTGCTGTCAGGTGCCGTCAGGTCAGCTCCGACTCGTAGCGACCCTGTGTACAATAGAAGGAAACACTGCCCACTTTTTTCTAGCCGTAGTCCTTGTAATTTCCCACCAAATGATTGGGTGGGAGTATGCAAATAAGGTGCTTGTGGCTCACCAAGGGAATTGGACAACTTGCTAATAATGCAGATACTGTGGGGGTGGGACCATGCAAATAAGGTGTTGGTGTTGGTGCTGGTGCTGGTGGTAAGTGCCACCAAGTTAGCTCCAACTCAGTGATTCTATGTACAAGAGAACAAAATACTGCCCAGTCCTGTGCCGTCCTCACAATCCTTGCTATACTCAAGCCCATCAGTGCAGCCACTGTGTCCATCCATTTTGAGGGTCTTCCTCTTTTTCCTTGATCTACTTTACCAAGCATGATATCCTTCTCCAGGGAATGGTCCTTTCTGACAACATAACCAAAGTAGGCGAGACTAAGTCTGGCCATTCTTGCTTCTAAGGATTATTCTAGCTGCACTTTTTCCAGGACAGATTTGTTCTTTTGGCAGTCCATGGTTTTCAGTATTCATCAATGACACAATTCGAATGCATTAACTCTTCTATGGTCTTATTCATTGGCCAGCTTCTACATGCATGTAAAGTGATTGAAAAAACTATGGCTTGGGTTAGGCACACCTTAGTCTTCAAAGTAACATTATTTACTTCTCAACAGTTCAAAGAGGTCTTTTGCAGCAGATTTGCCCAGTTCAGTACAACATCTGATTTCTTGACTGCTGCTTCCATGAGCGCTGATTAGGAATCCAAGTAAAATGAAGTCCCTGACTATTTCAATCTTTTCTCTGTTTTTCATTTTCTTTATGTTGAGGTACAAGCCATAATGAAGACTGTAGTCTTTGATCTTCACCAGTACGTGCTTCAAGCCCTCTTCGCTTTCCGCTAGCAAGGTTATGTCATCTCCATGTCATAGGTTAATGAGTCTTTCTCCAATTCTGATGCTGTAGTGACAGCCTCCTGGTCTATGTACAGGTTCTCATGAGCACAAGTAAGTGTTCTGGAATTCTCATTCTTCGCAGTGTTATCCATAATTTGTTATGATCTACATAGTCAAATAACTTTACATAGTCAATAAAACACAGGTAAATATCTTTATGGTATTCTTTGCTCTCAGCCGAGATCTATCTGATATCAGCAATGATATCCCTCATTCAGCATGCTCTTCTGAATCCAGCTTGAATTTCTGGAAGTTCCCTATCAAAATACTGCTCCAACCATTTTAGAATTATCTTCAGCAAAATTTTATTTCTATGTGGTATTAATGATGTTGTTAGATAATTTTCCCGTTCTGTTGGATCTTCTTTCTTTGGAATGGGCACAAATATTGTTCTCTTCCTGTTAGTTGGCCAGGTAGCTGTCTTCCAGATTTCTTGGCGTAGATGAGTAAGTGCCTCCAGCACTCTTTGTTGGAACATCTCAGTGGATATTCTGTCAATTCTTGGAGCCTTGTTCTTTGCCAAGTCTTTCAATGCAGCCTGGACTTCTTCCTTCCGTACCATTGGTTCTTGATCATATGCTACCTCCTGAAATAGATGAATATAGACTAATTACTTTTGGGACAGTGACTCTGTATTCCTTCCATCTTCTTTTGATGCTTCCTGCACCATTGCATATTTTTAAATGACCTTTTGCTCTCTTCATGTATGATGTTCTTGATGTCATCCCACAACTTGCCTGGTCTTCGGTCATTGGTGTTTAGTGCGTCAAATCTGTACTTCAGATGGTCTTTAAATTCAGGTGGAATATAATTAAGGTCATATTTTGGCTCTTGTGGACTTGTTTTAATTTTCTACAACTTGAACTGT